GGATCTCACCAATGAAGTTGGGGCTATTTTCAGTGTCAATAAAAATAGAAATATTGAACCACGTGGGGAAAACTGATCTAGAAACATGCTTCAATGTCATCAAAACCTGGCCTCCATGGCTGACTCCCTCACCTCTACTGTGGAAAGCTGAACAGTAACTAGTCCAATAGCCTGGTGAATGGAGAAGTACCTTCTTTCCTTAGGCTGACCTCATATTTTTTTTTTTTTTTTTGTCTTTTTGTCTCTTTTCGTGACTGGCAACGGATCGCAACCCTCAGTGTCGTGCCCGTACCAGACCGGGACCGGCAACGGGATCGCAACCCTCGGTGTTGCCCCCGCTCCTCGCTCAGCCAGTGAGCGGCCGGTCTGCACGTGGGATCCGAACCCTCAGCGGGAGCGCCGCCACGCTTCCCAAGCGGCGCACTGTAGCAGTGCGCCACCGGGCCGGCCCTGACCTCATCTTTTTTAAAACCCCCAGATAAACCAGATCTTGCTGCTCTTCAAGTTTGTTCAGCAAATAGATGAGACAAATGCCTTGCAGAAAAAATAATCCTCACCACCCTCAAGTCTTCTACCTTATCCCGTAGGTGCTGACCAAGAACAACTTTAGAAGCTGATACTAAACAATAGCGAACAGGTGGACAGCAAGAAGTCTGTTTCCATGTTGATGGTATAAATACACAGACACATACTAGACAGGTACACATACTAGACATACAGCCTTTTCCCATTTTCTCAGCCAAAAATGAGCAGAAATGTAGAAATTCTCTAGCAAAATCCATGTACTTGATTATCATGAGTGTTTAAGCCTTGTTTCTTATCACTGATCCATCTGGTAAGTCAAAGAGACCCATAAACCTTCAACTTGTCATTTTGTCAAGGTACCAAGAATAACCCTTCTTTTCACCTTTACTTTCTTCTCACACAAGTCAGTCATCCTCCTTGCCTCTGGTTCTGAACTTTGTAGTGAAGAATGAGCATTTGGAGACCCTGAGGATACGTGTGAAACTTAACACTATAAGTTCTAGTCCTTGTTCTGTACAGAGCTGCTTTGAAAGTGCCTGAACTAGTTGAGAAAATCTAATGCACAAGTTGTCTCCGGAGGAGAGAGCGCATGGGACCTTGCTAAAGAGGTGTCTTCAAAATCAGCTGGATAGAAAACATCTTCCTTTTGAGTACACAAAAATACCAAAAGGTCTTAAAACTGGTTCTTTCCCAGCCTAACTTAAACTGCAAAATGGAGATAGGTTGCACAGTATTTTTTACTTAATTCCAGATGCCATTTCAACCAAGGACACAAAACCTATTTCACTTGGGGAGAGGTGGAGAAAAGACAAAGCAGTTGGCACTGTGCCTTTTGTTTTAAACTAGTTTAATTAGGCTAATACAACTGACTTAAACCTTCCAATCCTCAGCTAGTGGGTGAATCAATAATTGAAACAATGGGCAGGTCCCAGACCAGGCCTCAAAATTGCCCAGCCTGACCCTAGGCTGTACACACAGCAAAGAGGGCAGGCTTGGTTAAAGTCAACCAGGATTTAAAAATCCACGGGGAGTAAGCAGTGGCTTTGGTACTATCACAAATCAACAAGGTCACAATGCAGACCCAGTCCTGCTGTTGAATATTCTAACACACGCTATTTAAACAAAAACTATAGAAACTGAATTGTCAACACATATTCGAAACTTAGTATTTCAGCCTTGCCTCACTTTTACCACCTCACTGGCCTAAGTAAGCAAAAAATGCATAGAAAGGGACTGTTCTGCTTGCCCCTACTGAGCAGGGCCAACTATGTTTTTTTGGAGGGACTGGTTCTTTATTTCAAAAAGACAGTTGTCAATATTCAGTATCAAAATAATTGCAGTATTGGTTTCTCTTTCTCCCAGTCAGCCCCAAAGACACTACCCCAAAAGAAAGTACATTTTAAGCCAGTTTAAGTTGCAGGATGTACACCTAACAAACCTCACAGAAACCTCACCAAAAAGTGGGGGTTGGCTGGGGAGAGAAACTAGAAGATCAACACCTGCCAGCTCACAGACTGTAGACTCTCATAGCCAGGTGGCTAGGCCAGGGTACCCCAGCCCCAGAGAAGCAGTTTCAAAATAATATAAAAGTTTATTTTTTTATGCGAGCTACTCAAGATTTCTCCAGCACTGACTGATAACAGCACAATGAGATGGCACTTTTAAAGACAGCACCTTCAGACCTTGAAAAGGATGATGAGATGAGTTTCATATGGCTAAATCAGTGGCGAAAACAACTTTCTTTCAAGGAGCAAGGAAGAGTTTATAATACCAAGAGCAAGGGTTGGGATCCCCATACTGGCCAGCCACCAAAAACAAAACAAAAAGGAAGGAATGCAATTAGGTGGTCACCTCACCGTAAAGGGCACGTGATCCATTCTGTGAGCATTTGGGGGAGGGATGAGATGGGAACAAAAATTTGGTCTCAAAGGTCTCACCATCTTAATTTGGTCACTTCTGATGAAAAGAATAAAAATAAAGTCCAAAGATACCTTTAAGCTGAAAATCTGAATAGCACTTTTTTGGGGGGAGGGGGCAGGGGCTAACTCCTGGAATCCCCTTTCTGGTTTTGGCTGGTACTCTGTCCAGAGTAATTTGGTTTCCCATGGTGGAGTCTTTCCCTGGGCTGTTTAGCTCTTAGTAAGGCAAGCCTGTACCTCTTTCCCTTCTCTATGGAGAGGGCAGTATGGATTAAGTGGAAAAGCTACCTTCCAAAAGTGAGAAAGGGACTAGATTGCTGCTTTCAGAGCCGTGGAATTATTTGGAATGCTTTATAAATGGCTGCTACAACAACAAAAAAGGTGTACAGCAGACCATACTTTTTTTTTTTTGTCCTTTTTGAGACCGGCCACACCGCACTCAGCCAGCGAGCGCACCAGCAGCCATCCCTACATAGGATTCGAACCCGCGGTGGGAGTGCTGCACTCTCCTGAGTGCGCCACGGGCTCGGCCCAGACCATACTTTTAAAGACACTCTGCATGTTCCCTTAATTGTTCCCAAAGGTGCTCTGCCTCTAGCCCAGCTGGAATCTTTGGGAAGAAGCAGAGATAGTTTGGTGGGCGGGGGGCAGGGGTGGTGAAGATAGAAGGTGGAGGGTGCAAAAGGAGAAAGCAGCCTTCTAGTTAACCTCTATCTCTTCCTCATATGTGCCCTCTTTTTGAGTATTTTCTTCAGCAGCATGCAGATACTTCAGGTTCTGGTCCATCAGTGTAATCTGCTCACCCTTCTCTCGGCAGTGGGCCAGTTCAAACTCCTTCCTCTGTGTGTTCCAGGTCTCCTTCAATAATTACCAACTTACAAGCAACCTATCTGCCTCTTCTGCAATGTGCTTAGCTTCTTTGAGTTGGATTTCCTGCAGTTCCATCTTTTCATCATCTTTGCAGGCCTGGTTTCCAATAACTTTCATACCTCTCTCACTCTCAGCAGGTTTTTCCTTTTTCCTCTAGCTTTTGCAGGGCAATGGCCAGGTGCTCCTGAGCGCAGTCCAGCTTTCTCTTCAAACAGCTGGATTGTCAGCCTCAGCCTCTTCCCTGGCCGCTGTTCCACTTCCCGCTGGAGGTGCTTGGCTCTCTCCTTGTCATCGCTGGCCTGATGCTGCAGAAACTGCATCTTGCACTTCACTGCCTTGATGGTGGTGATCCCAGCTTTGGTGCCCACCCAGCTCCTGCCTCCATCTATGTTTTTCATCCCAGCAGGATGGTTTCATTTCAGATTTCATTTGCTTTCAACATTCAGCAGTTTGTTCGGTGGGAAGCTTACAAAGCTGAGTTTGATTAAAAGTCATCCATATAAGAGAGATGAACAACTTTAAGCACATTGGCTAGGAAAGCAGTAACCTTTGGAGAAAATCTCAGTGCTGGACATAGTCAAGAGACTGATAGTTATCTTGGGGTCTTAAGCTCCTCTCTATCAAACTTCCATAATCCCACACCAAAACACTAGGATGCCTCTACTTGATAACTGTTTCCTAGTACTCAAAGCCAACACTCCTTTACTAAGCTGAATGCAGGATCGATAGTGATATTTGTATTTCAGTCAAATTCTGGAGGGGAAAAAACACTGAGCCTGGACTTAGTTCAGTCTTACCGGCTCTAAATTTTATTCATCTATTTATTTTTTGGTGACTGGCCGGTACAGGGATCTGAACTCTAGCTCTAAGTTTTAAAGGAGAACATCCCCATGAGAAGACCCAACTTGAACATCAGATTAATCCCAGCTCTACAGTGCAGGATCTGGAGTTATTGCAGAAAGAACCAGATTTGGATTTCAAAGGTCTAGTTCCACCAAATTATTCTGGAGTGGCAATTTCCTCTGTCATTTTTTCCTTCTACTATGAGAGAAATAATTGCTTTATAATGCAGATTTCTTGTGCCACAGGATAGACTAAAATTATTTATAATTGGGCTGGCTGGTTAGCTCACTTGGGAGAGCATGGTACAGATAACACCAAGGTCAAGGGTTTGAATCCTTGTGCAGGCCAGATGCAAAGAAAAAAAAAAAAAAGACACCAAAAAACATTTATATATATAGTTGATAGTGAAAACTTTCAAATGACATTAAATGGAGAAACAATTATTCCTCAGCACTGTCAGGTGGTAGTGTTTCTGTAGTCATTATACTGTCTGTTTATAGTACTAAACAGAAAGTTAACTGAAGACAATGGAGGAGCAAGATTGTTTTTGCTCTGCCAATATAGGATACCTTAGATAATGAGGTTGCCACCATTAGTAAGCACCCTCCCCCCTTTTTCTTTTGCTTCTTCTACCATGTAAAGTAAGCTCTCCTTTTCTAACAGTAAGCAAGGTAAGAACCCATTTCTTCTTCAACCTTTGGGTGAGAGGTCCATGATGGTGCAATTCCATGGACACCATCCAACAAACATGTTTTTGCACTGCCTGAAGAAATGTTTTCTGAATACTTATTTAAGATCTGTTGTGCCTACTTATATTTATTTCTAACATTTCTGCATTTGTGGCCACAACAATCATTTAAAAAAAATTTATCCTTAAACCTTAGATCTAGAAATATGAAACTAGCTTTTGAAGGTAACAAAATTGTGAATATCTATCTTCACCTCAGTTTTCGCTGCATACATGTCACTTTTAGTGTCTTCTCTGGAGAAGAATGATATGGTTTTTACATCAGTCAGCAATGTCAGAAATGACAATGAAGTTGGTTCTGAAGGTTAAGGCTAAAGCTGAATAGCAGCCCTTCTGGACATATACCAAGGCTGAAGTCTCATTTCAATACATCTGATGATGCAGAACTAAACCAGAATGCCTCTACCCTTCTGTCTCAGCTAGCTGACTACTGTGCTACTACCAACCACCACAAGGACACACTCAGACCTTTGCACAGAAAGTCGTTTTCATGATTTAGACATTCAGTAAGACTCCCCAGCTCTACCTTACTTATGTCTCACCAAAACTCCTCCCCAGGAGGCTTTTGAAAAAATTATCTACACATCAGTTTATTTGAAACACTTTGCACTAGTGATTAAAGCTCAACTGTTAAAATGACATTACGAAAATGGACATTTTAATTCACTGCTCAAACACACAGCCAATTCCTGAAAATTTTGGAGAAGCTGATTTTAGCCAAGG